AATAGATATGACATGTATGTATATACAAGTTTGTAAGTACGTGAAAAATGCCGCTGCTAGGAGCGCCCTGAGGCTTTGGGCGCCTAAAAGGCTGTGTCCTGCGACACAGTGGTATTCCTGGAAATGAGAAAGCGGACAACTTCGATAGAAAGTGATCTGAGATAAGCCTGCAAACCTGCGCCTGCGATAATGGTGTTCAAAATTTGAGAAAATGAATTTGAATCAACTTGAACACCTGCGGTGTATCGCGTTCACTCTGGCCACTGATTGATGAACGAAGAACATGGGGTGAGCTGAGGCTCTCAACATCTAACAGAAATACAAAGGGGACACTGAACCATTGGCCACATGGCCGTCATTTTCCGAGTGTATTTCTGCCATGAAAAACAGCTTCTGATAAAAATACAATCGCTGTTCGGAGTCCGCGTAAAACTGTAGGTGCATCCATTTTGAGTCACAACATGAAGCGCACGCCACGAAGGAGAAGCTGCGCCAAACACCAACATTTTGCGTAAGACCCAATCTATTATTTCTTATCAGGGAACGGGTTTTTAGGAACTAAAATCCTAAAAAAGACAAAATAAAATAGCGAAATAGGCAGGAAAAGGCACTAGAAATAACAAAAAAAGGCAAAAGAAGGCTCTAAAAAAGTTAAAAACTGAAAAATAACTCTGGTTTACAGGAAAAATATTCAACGGACGCCACTATCCAAATCCGATATAGAATTGCTCGCTGATTCCGAGAATCGAGTTAAATTTTTATTCTATGGATAAGTCTTCGAGATGTTTTCAGGTATACGTGGCGTATGAGTAACATTCTTTCCTGGTCATTTTTCATAACAAAAATCTTTGCGCATTTTCATATGACTACTTATTACTTCTTTATTTATCCTTCGAATTTCTTCGTTATCAACTTGTTTTTTTTTTTGGAACGTTTGAAACTTTTATATTATCAGGAATAAGGGTTTTCTCTTCGCTATAATCACTTTTTAAAGGTACAATAGGCAAAATATGCAAATATTTTGAAAAAGGCAACCTCAAATGTGTATATTTGAAACCAGGGAAAGCTAAGTCGTGGACATTCCTAATCGAATATACTCTATCTCTTTAGCAGAAAAAAGGTAATTTCCATAAAATCCGTCCCCTGTTTATTATTATTATTATTATTATTATTATTACAATGGGCCTACATTACATATGTGCATCCGAGTGAACTCTTACCAGAGCTGTCCACAATAAACATCTTATGAGAGGAAACTGGTTAAGCTGGACAAAAATGTATCGCGGGTGTACTCAATGGACTTTTTGCAACCCCACAGTCCACAGTAAGTGGTTAGTTAGTGATTAATTGGATTAATTTCACCATGAAGGCGATAAACGATAGTTCTTTTGTAATGGAGTTGTACAATGAAAGTATTTTCCAACTTTAAAGGCCTTCAATTGACAACCTTATTTCTGATTGCGAAAAAGTTATTCCCCCTACGATTTTGCGCCCTACCACAGAACGAACATTTTGAGTTTGGAGTATTTGATTGACTCAATGACTTAACGTATTAAAGAAATAATTTTGTAAAAGGCAGCTCAACGAAGTACCAAGAACTCTTAATGTCCAATACCAAGCAATCGGAAATAGATTCTATCCATTTCAATATTTTTCCTAAATCGTAAAAATTACTAGGCCAAAACTTTGCATTTTTAAATTAAAGAACGTTGTAGTATGTCCTTAAAATCTAAATAAGTGCTTTACATTGGCTTAGGAGCATATATTTCTCGGACAATAAATGCGGATTTTCTGAATAACTACGTTGAAGTACTTCTCGTCGTATCCCCACTTTGTGTTTTTTAATTTCATCAAAATTGGATCATAAATACAGATTTTCTGAATATCTCGACTCATACGCCACCTCGGCCGATGTCCGTGCCAGGGGTCTAAGGAGCATACTGTCCAAATTTCATTTACATATTTGTATATATAAATTTTGGGGATCAAACTATTGCTTGGCCGAGCTTCTAATCCAACTTGTGATGTGCGCCCTGTTGTTATGACACAGATAGAGGGAGCTGCAATTTTACTGTTGGAAGAAAAACTTTTAATAATTTTAGATGTTACTCAGAACAGTGATCGGAACCCGGGTACTACGGAGTGATAGTTCGTACCTCTAAGCATTCGGAAAACAACGGCCTTTACGACATAAGAATTGCATTGAAATTGGTTTGTAAAAAGGAATAATAACCTACTAACTGTTTGTCATGATTTGGATCACACGATTGGCGTTCCAATTTAAGCCAATTTTTTTTTTTGCTCGAATGCCCAATCGTGTGACCCGGCCTTTATGCAATTTTAAACTGGTCTTTGATTGTGCGGCTGGTGCTGATGTATGTAAATAACTATTTGATATTTCGTCTACGATCCCAATTTTTAACCAACGTTTAAAAAACTTTTGAAAACGTCAAACATGGAATAGCTATTATGTAAGACCACAACATTAATTACGATATTCACCAAAAAAATTTAGTTTTTCTATTTTTAACTGTAAAACAGGTGAAAGCAAATATTAAATATTGCTGTATAAGGACTTGAACATGTTTACCTATGTGTTTATTCATATACATATATCGTCGTTTAAAGTACAAAACCGCGTATCACTCATATTTCAAAACGGTTCTCTTCTTTATAAAACAATCGCATTTCTGGCTAGTATATTTCAGGACGAATTAATAAGGCTTTTGTGTTGCAAATCCATATTTGGGCAAAAAAATGTCAGTTACGCGGTTTTGCAGAACAACGATACGCGATTTTGTACTTCAAACGATGATATACATGTGTATGTGTGTACTTTAACGTGAACGGTCTAATAAAATGTCATGGCATTTTATATTATGAACAATTCAATTCGAAAATATTGTATATAGCACGGTATTCACCATACCTAATATATACAATTGTACATAAATGAGTATATACATACACATATACAAAGGTGTAGGCACACCTGAACTGTTGAGTTCATTTCAGCTGAGTAAAGCTCTTTTCAGACATATTTGATATGTCCGCGTTTAAAATTGTTGTTGCGCGCTTCTTTATGGGTGGGAAATTGATTTTATTAACAGTTATTAGTGGGTTGCCTAGCAAGTGAATGAGCACATGAACTAACATACAAATGCGTGCAAAGTTATGAAACATATAATGGGTGCGAATGTGTAGAGAGGAAGGAAAGGGGTATGTGTAATGACAGCCAACTTTGACACACACACACACACACGCGCACACACACACACACACACACACACACACACACACACGGAAATGCTGCGCTCAATTGTTAGAAGTATTCATTAAGACAGCGCGAAAGGAAGAATGGCAGTTGCGTGACAGCACCGTTAACAGTAATGAATGGAAAGTAACTGTAATATTTTACTAATGGCCAAGGATGCCATCGGAATGAAATGTTTGGCAGAAGCAGAGTTTTAAGCAGTGTTTAAGCGCTGTTTACACTCGCATTTTTTTATTTTAAACTTTTCAATATTATTACGCTTATTATTTTTAGAATGGCCTTTCATTATTTTTCTCCAAATTTTACCAAACTCTCACTCTCCCATTTGGCAGCAGCAGTGCTGCTTCTACTTTCTGCAGCACTCCAATCAGCCGTTACTGTCTCTTTGTCTCTTAACAGTTAGCTGATGTTGTTGTTCTTCTTCTTATTCTTAGTACGCTGTGTGTTTCATTGTGCCCTGTATCTTTGACATGACACTTCTGGTTGTCTTTGTTGGTGGTGCGGTTTGTTGTTGGCGCATTGCAATTCGTTTGAAAATTCAATAACTGACCTAGTTAAGCCCCAAATACTTAGTTGCTTGCTTGCGTTACTCCGAAAACCGAAAAACTGACAAACGAGCGCCTCTACTGACTGCTTTACTGGTAACGCTTCTCTTACTGGAATCAGACTCGCAGCAGATTCGTATTCGCACGAGCATTGGAGCAATCGTAACTGTAACAATGTACAAGCAGTAAACGAGCGAGCGAATTTTCCAAAAAAAAAACATCAAAAAACCTAAAACTTCAGCTCTTCTTACCCATTTGAAAGGATTCGCACTTTTCAGCTGTGTTCGGTTTATTCGATGAAATTTTTCTTTGCAATGCACTACTTGGTATTAAATTTTTTCAAAGAAGTTTTTTTTCAATTCCAAGCACACTTTTTTCTAATGTAATACAGCCGCTTTTTGTCACTTGCAGCTTTGCGCATAAGAATTCACCGAACATAACTTATGTAACAGCTACCAATTAGTGTGGAATGGTGCTTAATAGGTTTGCGTGTGTGCGTTAGTGCGCGCGTTGAGGGAAGGTGTATGTATGGCATGTGATGGGGGCCCGCCAACCATACAAATATCGATTGAAATGTTGGCTTATGACAACCAAACTGAGAAACAATAAAATCAAACTTGGTGGCGATTTTCAAGTATTAAATAAAAGAAGTTTAAAATTACATAAAAATTCACCAAACGTTTCAATTTCGGGGTATTAACATATTTGCATTATGTACTTATTTAAAATCGTGCGCTGCTCCAATTTCAAATCACTTTTCGCACTTTTGCTTCATTCATATACATATGTACATATAGAACTTTCATAACTTTGAAAATTTTCGCAGAGATTGCACAATTTTTCCATGCCCTTATTGGCATTGATATGTCTGTTCGCTAGACTTTTTTCTTCTGCACCAATTACATATGAATTTTATTTTTATTTTTTGACACAGCTGCTTGCCGTTCTCCGCTCCAATAGCCAACACCGTCGTTGCACTCTACATTTGCCGAATTGACCACCAAAAATCATAGAAAAAGGTTGCAAATTTTTTAATCGATTTTCTACATCCGCCTGCTAATTGCTTTTGAACTTCCTTTCATTCGATTGCCATGCTTTTTATTGAACATATTTTTTCTGAATATATTCATTTATTTTAAACAAATAAAATTTTTAAATATCTTTTCTTTTTAGATATTTACGTAAGAGACAGTCTCCTATTTAGCTCGCACCCGGACAACGAAGTAAAAACGTTTATTCGATATGACAACAGCAGAAATACACGGCTTAAACATCCAGCAAGGTCGTTACGTGATTGGATACGAAAACACTGGCGGGCAGTCAGCAAACGAGCAAGCGAGCGAGCAGCGTGCAGATAGGCCAGGCAAGAGCAGCAGCAACAGCAATCGATATTTGCGCACAGGGTTGTATGCGAATGGCGCGAGTCATTGAATAAATTTCCTCTACAGTTAGCTTGTGTCTTCCGGTCGACATGGCGTATGCGGCTTAGAGTGACTAGCAACCAGCGCCTGAATGCTTACTATAATTTTCTTATTAATCAGTCGTTAAGCGATGGTTTTTGTTATGATTCTCTGCAATTCTATTAAAAAAGTTCTTTTAAATTTAAACTACATATTTAAGAAAAAAATTTCAAACACATTTTTTTAATTAAATTTTTTAATTTTTAAAATTTTACTCAACAAAATAAGATAATAAAATTAAACTTAAAAAAAAATGCAATACTTAAAAAAATAAAATAAAATAAAATAGTAATAAATAAGAAATGAAAATGAAAATTAAATAAACTGCAAATAAATAAAATAAAATCCAATAAAAAACAAGATAATTTAAAATTGTAATACAGTGAAATAAAAAAAGGGAAAATAAGAAAATATAATGTTTGTTCAAAATTTTTTTGGAATATTATACGGGTACATTTTTCCAAAGAAATTAAGTTTTAATTATAGTTGTTCTATGACTTTTTAGCATGAGTTTTGAGTAGCGACCATAACGGTTATTACCTTGATAATAAAAATTATAATTTAACAGTTAAAACTTGTTCGTAATACCTTTTCAATCCAATTTAATCATTCGATAAAAGATAAGCCGTACTTTTGTTTCTCTTTATTTTTCGATCATACTATATACACATAACCGTTATTTTCAGTTTTAATTTTTTTCTTCTTAATGGTTTTGTAACGGCCAGAAAAAACCGAAGTCTTCATTATAGTGATTAAAAACGATCGAAAAAATAAAAATAACGATTATTTATGATTGCAAAATTACAATCACAAAAAAAACGATATTATTTGACCGAAAGAATAAAAATCCAAATTTTACGTTTACTGTTAATCGAAGCAAAAAATCAAAAGAAAATGATTTCGCAAGGATCAAAAAATAGTAAAAAGTATGGTATTTAATGATTATTTTCAGACCCTGGATTTAAGTTTAAACAAACACTAAATTTGACGGAAGTGTTAGATGTACTTTTTATTATTTAACCATTTTCAATACGTTTGGTTTGCGTAAAAAAAAAAATAAGTTAGTCACACGTAATTTTGCACAAATATCCTTTTTTGAGATTTTGTACTAAATTAAAATCGGCTTTGTTGTCATGTTCACAGTTTTGTTTTAGCCTGTAAATTACAGTTTTATAGACAAGCTTACGGGTCTTTATATTACTTTATAGCACAAAGTACAGTTTTTTCAGATTTTCAGATGTAAACGTATAAATTAAAATATCTCTTCAAATTTTTTGGAAATAAATTTTGGAACATCACTGCTATTTATCTGGCACACTTTATATGTATTATTTCACTATGGAGCTTTTTAAAAAATTGCATATAACTCCGTTGTTTTTAAAATTAAAATTTTTATTAGGTTAGGGTCTTTGTGAATAAAGGTCCCGATATGTATTAAAGATGCTCGCAAGCTCAGTCCAAAACCATAGATGGGTTTCAGATACCTTTAATGCTACATACTTACATCACATTGATTTTTTCTTCTGTATTGGATTCCTTATAAAATAATGTGTCAATATATATAAATCTTCTGCTAGGAGCACATCTCGAATTGAAGAACATACTCCTAATTTTCGGGAGCTGTAATTTTCCAAATAGTATACTCCAAGTCAACTTCTAATTTCTAATTAGCGAAATTAAAATAAAATATAAAATCTAATATTGCGTATTTTTTTTATAGGTATTCTTCCTTCGTAAAACTTACTGATCACCACTTTCATAGAAATATGTCAAAAATACCTTTCCTTGCATTCCTTCCGATTAAATTTGTTTTTCCACAGCAACACCAATAACCGACCTTTCAGTCGGTGATTCATACCGGCCATTAAAGAGACGGAAGTGAATGCGAGTGAAGAGCAAATTCAAAACTGTAGCAGAGAATTTTAGCGACTAATCGAAACTCTTAAATGTGCAGCCGTTGCATAGGTGTGTGGGCAGCTGCAACGCTCGCGTGCAGCAGTCTTCGTGTAATAATAGCGACGTTGTGGCGCTTTAAATTTCTTGACGCTGCATTTTTACATTGCACGAATTCTTTGTACAACTATCCATTTGTCCACCCATCACTTGTTACTTACATATGTACGTATGTACCTAGTTAGATAGCAGAAGCCATAAACCATTCCACCAAAGTCAAAGTGCAAAATAATGGTTTTGTTGTTGTTGGTCAATTTTCGTTTAGACTTCAAATTTTTAAATATCAATTCTGAAGTGGTTCGGAAATATCAGCCCAGATTTGAGTCCGGTGGAAAACTGCTGGGATATTCTCGAAAAGCATGTGAACAAGAAGAGAAAACTTTTCAATAAACCCCATAAATCAAACGGTTCCTCTATGTGCTTGGAAAGGAAGCCTTCGAAATAGGAATATAAAATTTAAAAAAGTATGATCTTTTAAAAGAAACGTACCGATTTTTTTTACAAAGTTCGTATAGTTCAACGTTCGATTTTGTTCAAAATGCGCCATAGATTTTTCGTAGAGTAGTTGCTTTTAGTTGGTATCGTCCACGTTTTTGCACGAGATTGATAGGACATTTGAAGAGTTACATTTTTTTATTAATCGCAGGAGTTATCTGGCTTTCAGTTGTCTACCGAGCCCAAATTAGCCCCTATTAGCTATAGGGTTAAATTATATTGGGTCCTAAGCGAAGACTTTTTATGTCTTTTCATTGCAAAATACCTGGCCGTATCCTCCTGATTCCTTCTCTAAGTTGGAAAAAGTTGCGATGACTGATATTTGAGCCAAGGATATCCATATCGGCGATTTGCTACAAATGATTTATATAGAAAAATTCTGCCAATTTAGAAGAAGCTGAAGGTTGTGATCAATGCACTTTTAAACACAGCGTCATCGAGGCTGCTTCAATATCAATAGGAACTTTCAATTCGGCAACAAGGGCGTGTCTCGAATTCGATGCGCTGTGAAAATGGTGGCTTTCAGGGATATTCAGTTAATTCGTCTATAACACGTTAAATGCAACATTAACTGATTCCGAGGTAATTAGAGAAAACGGCGGGATGTTCCGTCTTGAGATCCAAGCTACGTCGCTAAACATGAGTCTGCGTTGCCCTTCAGCAAACGCATAGCCAGCGTGGTTATTTTAGAGTGTGAAAAATTACCATATATATATATCGTCTTTTAAAGAACCCGACCTGGTCTTTAAACTCTTTAATGGCCTCGTTATTTCGTAGTAGAACTATTGGGCTAGATTTCAAGCTCTCATGAGTAACGTTTTTCCACGCACCTTTTATACTTCTTTCAAGGGTGTTTTATTGTTTCTTTTATTCTGATATTGCTCTATTATAAAACGCCTCGCAACTAACTGCAGAATTTCTACATATGTACTAGAGGGCTGTATGAATTCATTCAAAACGGCTTTTGAATTATTCATATACAATGAGTTTGGCCTAAAATTTTTTGGAATTTGATTGAATGCCTGTTCTGATATATGTGTCGACATTAGAATATTCAAACAAAGTGAAAATAAATTGAATTGAAATAAATGACAATTTTTTTTTTGAATATTCAAAATAAATTTTTTCTGTGCACATATGTACAAATATA